ATGCTTGAATCTGCATAACCCCGCCCACATTTCCTTTTGGTTTTTGACCTCAGTGGTGATGATGATGATGATGAATGGGAGGACACGGATGAGGACGATGATGAAGACGAGGAGCAAGATTGTGATTCAGAAGGTGGTCTGTCAGAGGATGAGGAAGGTGGCCGGAGAGAGTTCATGTTTGCCGACTGTGAGACGAAGAGTCGTTTCACAGAGTATTCGCTCACGTCTTCCGTCATGAGGAGGAACGAGCAGCTCACGCTCCTGGACGACCGCTTCGAGAAGGTCAGCCAGCAGGTCTTCCACACACATAATGATGAACATTATTGCCTGTTCACATTGAGCACAAATTAATCTTTAACTACAACACAGCAACATTTGTTTCTTTTCTGAAATGTTTACAATTCGCCACATTTAAAGTGCCACAGCCATGCACAAATTTTAAAAATTAAAGTGTATTTTTTTCTTTGTTGTGTAGTTGCAAAAAGTCGCCAAACAATGAGATAGACACTGAAGACTGGAGTAATGATGTTGAAAATTCAGCTTTGATCACAGGAATAAATTACATTTTAATATATATTACAATAGAAAACAGTTGTTTTTTCAGGGTTTGAATTTAACGTTTTCACTCACCAGCTAATTTGGCCAATACATTTTTAAGTTATCAGCCATTCATAACTTCTACTAGCCAAAAAATAAAAAATAAACCAACAGCTTGTGGTTGTCCACACTGGATGTGACAAAGCAGGTGTTGCAGATCACTTATTATTTCTTCAATGCAAAGGAAACCAGCGCGCCGTTATTTGTCGGGTATGTTCAAGTCAGCTAGATATGCGCAGATGCTGCTCAATTAGGCTGTATTTAATATATCATGATGACTCACAAGTTCAGTACTTGTGCTAAATCTGCACAGATTTGGCTTAAATGAATTTGCACAAGAAATTAATGTGTGAACATAATTTCCGAAAAGTAACCCACCAAATTGGCTAGTGATTTGACAGCGTTACCTGCCACAGCTGATTTTTACCCGCATTTGGCGGGTGTTCATTTCAAACCCTGGTAATAATATTTCACAATAACACTGTTTTTACTGTATTTTTACCAACTAAATGCAACCTTGGTGAGCAGAAGAGACTTCAGTAATCAGTAATTGTCTGTTTGTTGAATAGTTTTACGAGCAGTTTGACGATGACGAGATCGGCGCGCTGGATAACGCAGAGCTGGAGGGCTACATCGAACCGGACAGCAAGCGACTGGAGGAGGTCATCAAAGACTACTTCATACAGAAAGAGAAAGAGTGAGTGTGTGCGACTGTCATGGATCTGTGTGTGTGTGTGTGTGTGTGTGTGTGTGTGTGTGTGAGAGATCACAGCAGAAGAGCTCATCACTTTGTGTGTGTGTAGATGTCAGAAACCAGATCAGCTGGGTCCTGCAGAGCTGCCAGACTGGAGTAATGATGTTGAAAATTCAGCTTTGATCACAGGAATAAATTACATTTTAATATATATTACAATAGAAAACAGTTGTTTTTTCAGGGTTTGAATTTAACGTTTTCACTCACCAGCTAATTTGGCCAATACATTTTTAAGTTATCAGCCATTCATAACTTCTACTAGCCAAAAAATAAAAAATAAACCAACAGCTTGTGGTTGTCCACACTGGATGTGACAAAGCAGGTGTTGCAGATCACTTATTATTTCTTCAATGCAAAGGAAACCAGCGCGCCGTTATTTGTCGGGTATGTTCAAGTCAGCTAGATATGCGCAGATGCTGCTCAATTAGGCTGTATTTAATATATCATGATGACTCACAAGTTCAGTACTTGTGCTAAATCTGCACAGATTTGGCTTAAATGAATTTGCACAAGAAATTAATGTGTGAACATAATTTCCGAAAAGTAACCCACCAAATTGGCTAGTGATTTGACAGCGTTACCTGCCACAGCTGATTTTTACCCGCATTTGGCGGGTGTTCATTTCAAACCCTGGTAATAATATTTCACAATAACACTGTTTTTACTGTATTTTTACCAACTAAATGCAGCCTTGGTGAGCAGAAGAGACTTCAGTAATCAGTAATTGTCTGTTTGTTGAATAGTTTTACGAGCAGTTTGACGATGACGAGATCGGCGCGCTGGATAACGCAGAGCTGGAGGGCTACATCGAACCGGACAGCAAGCGACTGGAGGAGGTCATCAAAGACTACTTCATACAGAAAGAGAAAGAGTGAGTGTGTGCGACTGTCATGGATCTGTGTGTGTGTGTGTGTGTGAGAGATCACAGCAGAAGAGCTCATCACTTTGTGTGTGTGTAGATGTCAGAAACCAGATCAGCTGGGTCCTGCAGAGCTGCCCTCTGTGAAAGAGGAAGACGAAGAAGAGGATGATGACGAAGAGGTGGAGATTGAGACGATGGTCATTGAGCCGCCTACAGAGCACTGGGACTGTGAGACCATCATCAGTGAGTCTGGATCCATAGAGTTTCTGAAGGACGACGTGACACTGAAGACTGGAGTCATGATGCTGAAAATTCAGCTTTAATTACAGGAATAAATTACATTTTACAATATATTCAAGTTCTTTAATATGCAGTTATATACAGTTATCTAAAAAATGTACACTGTACAATGTACACAATATATTGATAATAAATCAGCATATTAGAATGAAAAAAAAAATTTATATGTGTGTGTGTACAGGGTGTGATTTGTGTGTATATATTGCGTATATATATATATATGGAAAATTATATTTGTATCACAATATCTTATGTATTTCTACATATTAAAAGGATATTGCAGTCTGCTTTGAAAACCCAAGTATCAAAATTATAACGTTTTGAGGACTTTCTGGTTATTCTTATCATAATCATTTTCATCTTTCTCTCCCAGGTACATACTCCAACCTCTACAACCGGCCCAAACTGATCCAGGACCCCCCAAAGGTGAAGAAACCTGCCTTGCATGCTTCATATTTAATCAATTGTTCACTCCTTTTATTAGACAGATAAAGAAGGAAAGGGACTGATCAGATTCACTGCGAGTTAAATTTCCAATTCAAATCCACGTCCATTGTGCATGCCGTTTTCCATTTCAGAGGTCATTAGAGGAGAACATGTTTGTTCATAAGGATGGATGGGGTTACATAAGCGTTATTAGAGCTTAAAAACACAAACACCAAGAGGTGTGGCCCATAGTGCAAACCGTACAGCATGGTGCTTGCAACACCAAGGCTATGGGTTTGAATCCTGCATGAACTGATATTATCTATCTAGATCTTAAATGCAAAGCAAGTTTCTTTGGATGAAAGCAACTGCCAGATGCATAATGTAAACATGTGTTTGCAGATCCGAGTGTCCGATAAGACAGGGATTCCTCTGGACGTCCTGCCGAAACGAGGCCTGACGGCCAAACAGGTGGAGAGGATGGAGAGGATCAACGACTCGGACCTGCCCAGAGCCTCCACACAGCCCCGCTCACGGGACGAGAGCGCAGAGGAGAGGAGAGCCAGGAAACAGACCATCAAGACGGAGAGGAAGGTGTGTACGGCCGCGGCGCCTCCAGATGGCAGTGTTTCGTTTGTCTCATCTGATGCGTCATGCTGGAAATAATATTACATATTAATCTAGCACACTTTATGTTGTGATTATCTACCTGTTATCTTGGCGTTATGGCCTGCCAGACATCAGCTAGTTGAGAAGTGTGTTGGCACTTCAAGTTGCCAGACTTGGGATTTCTTTGCTTATTTTATAATAAAATGAGAAAACAAATCTCACATTGGAAGAGGAAGTTGGCTCCGTATTAACCACTTGGCAGTATAACTACCTAAAAAGCACCTTTATTTTCATTCATTGTTGCTTTAGGAGAGGAGGTCAGAGAAGAAAGCAAACAAACTGGCGTTCAAACAGGAGAAGCAGATGCAGGAGAAGCAGATGGTTAATTTAAGAGCAAATGTTCAGGGCCTGAAGCTCTCGTAGGACGGCCAGAGACGCTCCAGAGACTGTTTCCAACACCAGCGGAGACTACAGGACCTCACTGAAGACACGTCAGCTCACGGGTTACACTGTCGCAGCACATGATGGCATCATTTTCCTTACCAGAACTTCCATGTTTGTTTGACTCATACAGCGAGTATTGCCATGTGTTGTCATAGACATCATAACAAATGGAATCTACAGAAACTGTTCCATTTACGTTTGAAGGTAAACAGTCAACAGGAGTTCATTTCTTAATGACTCGGCAGTTTTTGTTTTTTTTTGTACGAAATGTAATTCAACATTTTAGCATATTCAAAGGTTTTCAATCAGTTATATAAAAAAAACAACAACAATACAAGTACTATTTTTCCATAGAATCCCAGTCCGGTTTTAATAAAAACACAATATTGAAAAAAAAAAAAATCAAATGTTTTTTACAAGTGGCACAATATAACTTAATGCAAACTATCAGCTGCCTGTTGCTAGATAGGATGGCTTTATAAAGTGGCTTGTCAGTTCATCATGATGAAAATCTCTTGTCATCTCCCATCATTATGTATTGTGTATAAATGCCATTCACAGGATTGAACAATAAACAACTTTGGCCTCAAAAGTTCCTGTTTTCATCATGGAGTGAGCATGTTGAAGATCTGCTACATGACCACGCTCTAATGTGTTCACGTCGTGTCAGAATTACAGCGAGTGTGAGTTTGAGTTGACGAAAATGTTCACATCTTTGTTGGAAATTGTTATTGCAAGCTGGAAGTGTTTTATAAAAGCTCTGGCATCATACAAAAACAACCAAACCGACAGTGTCTTTAAAAGATGTTTAGTAGCAACTTAAACGCACTACTGTTCAAAGGTTTTGGATCAGTGAGATTTTTTTATGTATTTGAAAAAAGTCTCTTCTGCTCACCAAGGCTGCATTTATTTGATCAAAAATAAAAACAGTAATATTGTGAAATATTACAAATTGAAAATAACTGTTTCCTGTTTGATTACATTTTAAAATGTAATTTATTTCTGTGATCAAAGCTGAATTTTCAGCATCATTACTCCAGTCTTCAGTGTCACATGATCCTGATGAGACGTACGAAAACGCAGCATAATGGCTTAAAGTCACATGACCTGAGCAGCGCTTGTAAAAGATGTTGTACAACTTTGTTCAAAGGCCACAAGATAAGACTCTTGTCTGTCCGCATAGAAGATAAAACTACAGTATGTAGCAAAATATAAGTTGTAATGAACAAATAATGCTCAAAATAGGAATAAAACAATTCCCTGAACTAGTGTAAGAGGAGTTTTTCAAATAAAAGGAGTGCCGTGATGAAGACAAACGGCAAACACGTTTTTCCATTGTGTCACGAACTGGAAAACCTGGGGGAATTCCATTCATGATGCATGTGAGGGCTTGTATTTGTACAAAGAGTCCCATCCCATGTCATGTTCCCGAAACACATCCAGGCGACAGGTACGGGGAATTTGCTGCCTTTACGGTACTTTCCTTCACTTCTAGACCTCTAAAAGCAGTTTGGGTCCGTAACTATCTACCGTATCTCCGGGACTCATCTCCTGTTTTTGTCTGGGAGCATGTGGACAGTCGTAAAAATCCGACAGGTCGCTCTGCTCATCTTCAACGAGGTCATTAGGCCCGTAGGAGCTTTTATCTTCCGAGTCGCCGCTTCCCAGATCCCTGGTATCGGACAATGGTATCAGCGTGGTTTGCTCTTTAGTGTCCTCAGCCGGTTCGATCTGCAAACATGGCTCCACATTATCCGGCACCACATTCAGTGTTTTCGACGGGTGGGATTGTGTTTCATCGAAATCCTACCAAACCAGAAAGAGACCGTTTACAGTCACCCATCTCTGTGCAGGAATGCTGCTGGGTAACACGCTCACATAAAACACACCAGGACACTTCTGACAAATTAAATGCATGGTTTGCCCAAAAACGTATGAATTTCTTTACAAAAGAACATTGAGAACCAAACAACATTTGACAATCCACTGGTGCACATTCATTCATTCATTTTATTTATTTCGGTTTAAGCCCCGGTTTCACAGACAAGGCTTAAGCCTAGTCCCAGACTAAAGTATAAATCTGAGCTGTTTTATCTGAAAGAAACTAGCACTGACAGATCTTGAAATATATCAGTGCCTTTGTTTTGTCTCAAGATGCACACCAGTAATGTTTTTTCTTAGGCATGCTTATAAAAATTACTTAAACGTCCTAATTGAACTATGGCCTAATCCTGGTTTAGTCTAAACCCTGTCTGTGAAACCGGGCCTAAGTAATTTAATTTTAGTACTTAAACTAAAAATTGTTTTGCAATTAATTATTCTTTCCGAGACAACATTTAATATCCTTTTTTATAGTTTTATTTTGTGCTTTTTCATTTGCATTTTTTTATATTGTTTATATATTTGTGTTTAGTTTTAGTTTTATTGCAGATTTAGTAATTTAAGTAGCCTACTTAAATTTGATTTTGTTTCTGTTTGTTTCCGAGACAACATTTATAATTTATACTTTTTTTTCCGTAGTTTAAGATTTTCATTTAATATTTATTTTATTACGTTTTATTTTTATTGCAGTTCTATTTTTAGTAATCATAGTACTTTAATTTTTATTTCAGCGAGCTTCCAAGGCAACATTTTTAGTTCAACCTAATTTCAAGATTTACATCTAATATTTGTTATTTAGTTTTAATGTATTTTTATTGCAGTTTATTTTTAGTAATTATAGTACGTAAACTTTTTTTTTTTTTTTTTTCAGTGAGCTACCAAGAGCATTTTAAGTTTTAGTTTTAGATTTTCCTCTAATATTTAGATTTTATTTTATTTCAGCTTAAATGACCAAAAGCAAATGTTAATCATTTTAGTTAATAACAACACTGATGGTGACTGGTTCTAAACTTTTTTTTTTTTTTTTCAGTGAGCTACCAAGAGCATTTTAAGTTTTAGTTTTAGATTTTCCTCTAATATTTAGATTTTATTTTATTTCAGCTTAAATGACCAAAAGCAAATGTTAATCATTTTAGTTAATAACAACACTGATGGTGACTGGTTCTTTTCTTTTTTAATAGTTTTCTGGAGTATTACATGGATAGTAGTCAACTTTATCCACCTTATTCTTCAATGCGGAAGTAAGCCTATGGGCGAGACTAGCGGTTGATTAGCGGCTATAGGGAAATAACGAGAAGAATAATAAAGTGCAGTAAACGGTAAAACTGTTTGCACTACAAACCAGTGTGGTCATAATTAAGATAATACATTAAAAAAGTATGGTAAGACACACTAATCTGCGATATTAAGCAGCAAAACGAGCGGTTTTGTACAGCTAAAAATAGCTGGATGCGGATGAGACCAGAAGCCAGAGCCATATTTACAAATGCTGTTGATTTTGTGAATACATATGAACATTTTGACGTGTCTTGCGTAAACAGGATTGTGCAGCATTGATGCAAGTAGACAAGTGGAGGCTAATTATAGTAAAAAAAAAAAAAAAAGAGCAAATAATTTTGCATAATGTTTTACTGGAAAAGGTCAAACAGCAACTTACAAAGAAATGCTGGAACATAGAGGGAACTTTCTTCTTCATTTCTGAGTTGCATTTCTTCGCTAACAGCATAATGACGGCAGTTATGAACAGCAGCGTTAAGACAACTCCCAGCACTGGATACACGTACACGGTGACCGGAGGATCTGGATGGAAGAATGAAAAACATCAGCAAATTACATCGTCCTCAGCTGCGCATGTATTTATTGTTGGGTTTATCATTTAATATCCCTTTATAATGCTTGGTTTCTGTTTCAGCTTGGTACCATTGAGCCCATATGTTTTCTCTCATGTATAAAAATATATAATCTGCCTTCAGTATTTTTAATGTAAACTGTGCTTTAATTTACTACCTAATATGTTAGAAGCCAAAAGTTGGGATGCACTTACAAATTCTCTATTATAACTAGCAAATACAATACATAATAAAGTCATAAAAACTACAAAATAATTGCATTTGTCTAATTCAGCTCTGTTCACCTGGATGTTGCATTTCTACTGTTATCTGCCTTGTGAAGTGAATGGAAGACTGTTTGGTTGAAATTGCACTTACAGCTTCTTATGTCTCCTGTGAAACAGCTGCTTCTGGGATTGAAAAACCTCTGTCCGATATTTCCAGTCAGAGTGACGCAGTATTCGCCTCTGTGCTCAGAAAACACAACGGACGTCTCGCATGATGTATTTTGCTTAATTTGACAGGTTTCACAGACTTCATTCATCCCCTGTGGAGAAAACAATAGTTACAACTATTTAAAAGAACAGTTCATACAAAAATAAGCATTTCGTCATTATTTATGCATTCTATTTGACTTGAGATATACTGTACACTACTGTTTAAAGATTTGGGGTCAATAAGATCTGTTTGTTAAATAAAATTAAACTGATCAAAAGTGAGGGAAAACCATAGTTTCCCCAAAAAGAGCACAGCTGTTTTCAACACTGATAATAATAAATGCTTCTTGAGCAGCAAATCAGCATATTATACTGATTTCTGAAGGATCACGTGACACTGAAGACTGGAGTAATGATGCTGAAAATTCAGCTTTGATCACAGCAATAAATTACATTTTACAATATATTCACATAGAAAACAGTTATTTGAAATAATAAAAATATTTCACTTTTTATTTTTTTGGTAATGATTTGAAAATATATAATTAGTTAAATTTGAATCTGTTCCTCAAACGGAGCGATCATATGACTTCAGAAGACTTCAGCTACTTTTATGTTGCATTTTGGTCTTTATTAAAGGGGTCATATGATGCTGCTAAAAAGAACATTATTTTGTGTATTTGGTGTAATGAAATGTGTTTATGCAGTTTAAGGTTCAAAAAACACATTATTTTCTACATACTGTACATTATTGTTTCTCCTCTATGTCCCACCTTTCTGAAACGCGTTGATTTTTACAAAGCTCATCGGTCTGAAAAAAGCGAGGTGTGCTATGGCGGCAGCAACAATACTACAGCGAGAATAAAAGTTACGCCTTCTTTCTTTGCGTGAACATTTGGGCGGCGTTATGCAAATCTTCCCACAGAGCGACGTAGACATGTGGGGGCGTGTTTAAATGAGGCGTTTTAGGAAGGTGTGGCTGACTCTTAACTTTTATAAAGAATATCTCTTTGGATTTGACACTTTAGTCTTTTCTAAATTTCTTTATGCACCAAGAGCTTGTAACACTCCAAAGAGAAAGGAAAAATTGAAATCGCATCATATGACCCCTTTAAAGCTATAAATGATTATAATATAGAAAAAGCTGCTGAAGATTCTTCAAGTGAGGGTTTTTTTGTATTTGGTTGAACTATTACTGCAAGCAGACAGGAAAGTGAAGGTTACCTCGTCTGTTTCGATACAGTATTCCAGATTATCGGTGAGGCCGCGCAGAGCCGGTGAGTTTCTGTACAGCTGAAGAGGGTTGGTGAACTGGACGTGAAGTTTGCCGTCTTTGGGAGAAAGTTTAACCTCAGGAAAATCCAAATAACCTGAACACACAATAGTACAGTTATACTGTCGGCATTTGCTATGATAGATGATATTTCCACTAAAAACACAGGCTAAACTTACACTTAATTTTGGCGGTAGCATATTCATTATAGCTGAAGTCATATGATATGGTCGAATTTGACTTCTCTCCTCCTCGCACAGCCTTCACATTAACAATGTAGCGGTTGTGTGCTGCATTGAACAGCATACTGGATATGTTTAAATTATGATTTTGTGTAAGATTAGAGCTCCTGGAACAAAAATAAGTAAACAGTAAGCTCATGATGGCAGAAAACACTTTCAAACTAAACAAGCTTATGGTTTAACAGTTTTTTTAAAGGATTCACCAGTCATTTAATCAAGATAAAATAAACATTTAGACTTGGTAGCTGTGAAAGATCAGTTTTTTATTCAGATGATTTACCTTTCACTGAAAGAATCTTTCACCTTCACTTGGAAGTAAACGTCTTGATCGAGATCAGGATATTCCCATCGAACTTCAACTCCATAGCTGTCACACTGAATAGACACGTTCGCAGGAGACGGGAGACTCACAGCTAAAAGAGAGACAGAATCACATTATGTTTGATCAATGAGCTCTTTTCTCTCTGTTTGCATTAGTCTGATCACATGATCTCCATGTATTAAAAACATTGCTCATAATTCCCATTCAGAGTACTAATAAAAAAAGACAAAATCTGTTAAGGCATATGTGGGCTAAATTTCAGAAAACAAATAATGAAATATACTTTCTAATATAATGAAAATGAAGCCTGTTTTTAAAACCATTTTTTTTTTGCATTGTAACATTATTCTTAAAAGATAGTTCAGCACATTTCATTGTCAGTAGTACAGTAAAGTAATACAATTCTTGTTTGCTTATAATAATGCCAGAAAAGTGATATACAGTATTCACAAATCGAAAAGTATAATTATTTAGTATTAAGTATACAACATAGTAGTATTTTTATTTATTTATTTTTATTAAATGACTGAATGTACAATGCCATTTAAAATTTTGGAATCTGTAATATTTTTTATGTTTTTGAAAGACGCATCTTCTGCTCACCAAGGCTGCATTTATTTGAAAGAAAAAAAAAACAATACATTAAAAGCAGTAATATTGTGAAATATTATTAGAAATTAAAATAATTGTTTTCTGTGTGAATATATTGTAAAATGTAATTTATTGCTGTGATCAAAGCTGTATTTTCAGCATCATTACTCCAGTCTTCAGTGTCACATGATCTTCAAAAATCAATCTAATATGCTGATTTGCTTAAATTGTAATAATGTTGAAAACATTTGTGCTGCTTCATTTTTTCAGGATTCTTTGATGAATAGAAAGTTCAAACGAACAGCATTTATTTGAAATCTTTCATAACATTAAAGTCTTTACTGTCACTTTTGATCAATTCAATGTGTCCTTGAGTATTACTTTCTTTAAAAAAAAAGAACTACTGACCCTATAACAGTAATGAACATTAGTGTTTTTTCTTTGTTTTTCATGTAATAATTCTGTCCTTGAAAAGGAAATTTTCATTACTGTATTGCAGTTATAACAATAAGAGTGCTTTTTCATCACAAAGAAATGTGAACTAGAGAGTAATGTCCCAATAACTAAAAACCTTAATGGACTTAAAATACGCTTAATTTTCTTCATGTATGCTAATCATTTCTTTTCTTTTTTAACCATCATCTCATATTCTTTTTTTTAATCTAAACAGCCACAGTTACAGCGATTCCTGTTGTATTGGTTCGGACTGGCCTGACAACACTATCAATGCTGTCTGTTGAGATAGTATGAACAAGGCAAGCCTTTACAGGGTTCATGTCCCATGGTGACCCTCCCCAGCGCTCTCTCTTCTCATGGTAAACACAACACATATCAAAACCATCTTCCCTTCCCTTCCTGCTGGCTCTACTCTCCAAACACCCACGCACACACACGCTCACACTTGCCGTTTGTTAACAGATGCCATTTAACCTGTCACGCACACTGCTATTACCATCGACCAGTGCCAGTTTCTGTCTGATATCAACTTTGTAGAGTATTTTGGACTTTGCACTGCTTTTATATTCAGATGTGTTTTAAACCCCTATAAAGTTGACACTCAAAACCTGTTTAACGTCTCTTATGTGACATATTGAAGAGCATTTAGCATTGTAATGTAATGTGTGGCAGTCGTTTGATTCTCCTGACTCTTTTTCTTCTTTATTATTATTTTTTTTACTTTTTTTATGTCTTGTCAGATACAGGCTCTTTTATGAGAACAAAGAAAGTTTTTGAAAAAACTGAATGTAAAAAAAAGTATCACGATTTCCACAAAAATAATGAAGCTAACTCTTTTTTAACACTGATGATGATAATAATAAGAGGAAATGTACTCGAGCAACAAATCAGCAAATTAGAATGATTTCTGAATGATCATGTGACACTGAAGTATGGAAGCCCGTTACCACCACTGAATAAAAAATAAAACAAGGTAATTAACCCTTCGCAGGGGGCTTGATTGACAGGCGATCTGACCAATCATAACGCTGAATCCGCCCTTTTGTCCGACAAACAAATCAGACAGGAGAGTAGATTAACGTCGGTGGACTTAAACTTGAAAAATGCTGTGTACTGACGTCTTTCCACAGTTGAAACAAGACACCTTCTGTTGTTTATTTCATGCTATAACTAGTAAAGAGGAAGAGATGATCGGTTCACGTGTGCCGCTTGAGGCAATACAGCGATATGTAGCAACAACAAAACTGTATTCATTGTTGGAATACATTGTTGGAAAATGACAAATTTTGAAAGTTGAGAGTCCTAAGACCTTGTTTCTTACCAGAAGAAACCTGTCTTGTCTGTCGGCGCGTTGTCAGTTTCCTCTTTGTTCATGCTATAACTAGTAAAGAGGAAGAGATGATCGGTTCACATGTGCCGCCCGCTTGAGGCAATACAGCGATCTGTAGCAACAACAAAACTGTATTCATTGTTGGAATACATTGTTGGAAAATGACAAATTTTGAAAGTTGAGAGTCCTAAGACCTTGTTTCTTACCAGAAGAAACCTGTCTTGTCTGTCGGCGCGTTGTCAGTTTCCTCTTTGCTCTCTCCTCTGTACTGCGTGAGAACACGATGTGTAGTGTGAGAGCGACATGGCTTGTCAAACATAGCAACAGTAACTAAGGGGGTGCGTCTTAGCAAAGGGTCAATTGCAAGTTTTCATTTTACAATTCTGACTTTTTTTTCTCTCGCAGCTGCATTATATAAACTCACAATTCTGACTTTATTTCTCAGAACTGCGCTCTGAGAATCTCGCATTCTGATTTTTTTTTCTCACAGTTGCAAGTTTATGAGAAAGCCAGAATTGCGAATTTATTTCTCAGAATTGCTAGTTTATATCACTATCAATGCCAAATTTATATCATGTAATTCTCAAAAAAAGTCGCAATTACCGACTATTTTATTATTTATTTAATACAATTATTTATTAATTTTATTATTAATAAAAAGTTTTTATTTTTTATTCAGTGGCAGAAACGGACTTCCATACTAAAAACTGGAGTAATGATGCTGAAAATTCAGCTTTGCATCACAGGAATAAATTACATTTTAAAACATATTCACATAGAAAACAGTAATTTTAAAATGTAATAATATTTCACAATATTACTGTTTTTACTGTATTTCTGATCTCATAAACACAGTGTTGGTGAGACTTCTATATTAAAAAAAATCTTACCATCTCCAAAGAAGATAAATGTTTTCATGAGTGATTTGATTTGATTAGCTTCATAAGTCATTAGTCATATGGGCGACTTTTACAGTGTTTTGTGTGTATGTGTGTGTGTGTGTGTGTGTGTGCACTGAAAAAAAATGATTCATTGAATTTACTAAAAACAATTTTAAGGTAAGTGGTTGCAATCAATTTATTTCAGCTACATTTAAATAAACAAATTTAATTGACTAACTTTCAACACGTTTTTTTTTTAAATGTAGCTAAAATAAATTGTTTGCAACCACTTACCTTAAAAAAATTTAGTATCATTTTTTTCAGTGTGTGTATGAGTGTCTGATGAAGCTCTCAGACTCGTTTGCCTAGTTTTTACTATTGACCATTAACCATCACTGAGAAGACAAGTGACAAGAACACAAATACACACAAACCCGCCCCTTTCTCACTTTATCACTGGCATTATATTCTGAGAAATCGCAGTGTAAAACAGGATCTGTGGTGTCAATCACTGCCATCTCTGTCAATCTTAATCTTCGTTTTGTTAAAGTGCAAACCAGACACCTATAGACTCCAACTTCCTTAAAGGTCCCCTGAAATGCTTAGAAACACGCAGCGTTACTCTATGTGTTGACGTCATTTTAACTAACACCCAAAAAACTTTAATTTTGATTTCATGGGGACTTTAAGACCTTCTGAGAACTCCAACCCAACAAGCTTCCCAAAAACAAAGTTGTAATGAGATTACAACAACGGATATTACAACATTCAGAGAAAAAATGTTTGACTCACAGGACCGAGCTGTTGCATTACTTGCAGCCTTTTTAAATGGGGCTAAAATTAGGTTAAAAATTAATTACGACTGAAATCAGATCTCTTTGTGTAGTCGAATAATTTACTCTATCTAAATGGAGTCATTTTACATCTGCTTTAACAGCCTCACAATCACATCAGCAACTTCTTATCACATTCATATATTCAGTCTAATCAGATTGATTCATAAGTCAGCTGTGATATGCTTGAACTTTGACCTGCTTTATTGATTTAGTTCATACGTATGTGGAGTACAGTACGTGATTGTCGTGATCGTATTTCTGTCCAGACGTTCACGGATCTCTTTAGTGAAGCACACTTTAAACTATGAATGAGAGGAATGTGTGAAATGTTAAATGTGACCGACAGGACTGACAGTAAAGAGCTGGGTTTGCATCCCTCTTGTTGAGTTTTGACACACCTGCCTTCAGGATTAATCTCAGATGTCAGTGCAATAAAAACTGACACCTGCACCAGGCCTTTGGACCTACGCTCTTATCACGGAAAACAACTCTAAATGCACAGATAGCAACTCTAAAAGCATAGAAAGTGTTAAAACAGTTTACATTTGGTAAACACTTTTATCCAACACAACATACACCGTGCGAACATATTTCAGTCAGTTCTTGCATTCCCTGGGAACTGAACCCATGACCTTGGCGTTGGGCTGCCATAAGATTCTGAAAAGATTCAGAAATTAAAGTAATGTAATGTTATCATGAAAATGAAATAGAGAAATATCTACCAGTGTGTGTTGACTTAGCCTTCCTTATATGAAAACTAAAACATTTTAATGCTGTGCCATCCTGCTTCACATGCACCAACCAAACATATCTGTGTTCAGCCCAACATAAACTTTAGTCATTAATTATCAACATTTATGAAATATTTAGTGATAGGTCTGTTTCCTCCAAAAATTCAAGTGTCTAAATAAATAAAAAATATTAATTGATAATAATAATAATAAACATTTAATAAATATATATTTAAAAATTTTAAATATATTAAATTTATATTATACTACTACTATACTACCAAAAAATAAATAAATAAATACATAAATAAGATAAAATCATCTTACCCTCTGAGGCGGATTTTTGGATCAGGATCAAGACAGTGACACTGATATAGATCTGTGTCCGCATTATTGCCAGCGAGTTTCAATCCAGTATTCACATATTATAAAAAGTGTTAATCCTGTCGAAATTAGTGTTCTCCAAATGTAGTGAACCCCATTTTCGTTCAGTTCTGTATTGTTACAGAGCTACATGAGACAGTGAGGCAGCGCGAGAGTTTCCGAGGAAGCGGCGCTCTTCAGGGAAATGACGTGCGTCTCGCGCACTCCCTCAGGCACGACAAAGGTGTTTACAGGTAGCTTCAGGTAACTCATTCACTCACTCACTCACTACACTGAACTTTCCGCTTGTTGAGGCTTGACTTAAACTCTTCTGAAAGAATTAGCCTACAGTTATGAATCAGTATCGTTAAATTTGCAATGCGGAAGGTTTTACCTTCATTTATTTAATGTCCTCATAGGATCAGATTTCAGCTCTCGGTTTAAAATATTATAGTGCCATCTGATGTTATATCACTGTATTACATTTCAGATATACTGTACATTGAAATCTATCTATCTATCTATCTATCCCCATCTGTGAGTCCTTGATTCTCAATAATAAGCATCTACATGTATTCACTGGTATGCATTTTATTGCAAATACTGTTGCAATGCAAACTATTGAAGAATATTAGGCTAACCGAGATTTGTCATTTGCGCTTAAATATTGTTGCTCTTTTGTTAGTTTTGACTGCTTTTATTGTCCTCATTTGTAAGTCGCTTTGGATAAATGTAAATATTCTGAAATGATGTAGAGAACAGGATCAGGACATGATGCCATCCTCATATAAGCGTCACAGCTCAATATGTCAGAACTTGTGCACTAAACGCAAGGCCAAGGCTCCTCGTTTAACCTGGTCTGGCATCCATGAGAGCTGTGCATCAGACGGAGAGCGAGATTACTCTAGACTGGCGACTGACCCTTCACCTCTGGATCTGAACTTTTCTTCACTTAGCCTATATAACACATCAGAGCTGGATCTGTCTGGAACAGACTAAAACTGAGCAGAAAATCACTTGAAGGTGATTTTGTGTGCATGTGGGGGTGCTTGTTGAATGTTTTTACTTGTTTAATTTGCAGTATTTATTTACCACAAATAGGATTTCAATTTGAGTGTTGGCATTACATTGAACAGATGCATTTATATTAAATACAACTGATAAAACTAGGAAACACACTCATTTATATGAAAACATTATAATGCACAGCAGGGTTTGACTAAATATTTAGCTTCAAAAAAGAGAGCAGGCAACAGTCCAAACAAGCTCATTCAGTAAAATTACTTCTCAATGCTATATGAACAATAACAAAATAGAATATTTAAAATGTTTTTTTAAAAAGGAGCTCACCAATGCATTTATTTGACCAACAATACAGTAAAACTGTAAATGAACTGTTTTCTATCTGAATGTTTAAAATATAGTTTATTCCAAAGCTGAAGTTTCACCAGCCATTACTCCTGTGTTCAATGTCACATGATCCTTCAGAAATCATTGTCAATCTGTTATATCATTATAAATGTCTTTACTGTCACTTTTGAACAACTGAATGTGTCCTTGTTGCATAAAAGTATTAATTTCTTTAAAAAACAAACAAACTGTTAGATCATGCCTTCACACCAGATAATTACGATCCAGCCCCAGATGCCAGATCCTGTCAGAAAATATCTGTTTTGTCTGGAAACAGTCAGCAAAATTGCTTAAAACCCAAAACCTGTTGATAGCAAGTCTTGTCTGGTACCCAAAATAGCCCAAACTGTATTAACAGTCTTCTGTCAGCCAAGAAGTTGACTGAGTAAAGCCAGAGAAGAGCAGAAGCAAGAGACCAAATGATGATGATAAAAAAGGAGCAGAGTTTAGTTGTGTATGTTTCAGACTTCGTCTGACCAGCACAAATCCAACAAGTACTGTTATACCAAACTGATTCACAACAACATCCTATAACCTCGAGTTTCCATCAACATCGTACCTCTTATTCATGAAGACAAACAGCTCTTGAAACACACAGTCATAAGACTAAACAGCAATGGAAAATAATATAATACAAAAAATTACTAATCCGTTAATGAATCAATGAAATGAGTATACAAATGGCTAATGATTATTATAAATGATTATATGATTAAATGCAATAATAAAAATGATTAAATGATAAATGATTGTAAATGTAAATGAACAAATAAATTAATATAAAAGAACACAACACAAATGCATGGTTACTCTCTTAAAGCAAAACACACAATTTGCATTTTTAGAATTCTCAGATCCTTCAAAACAAAAAACTCTTATTGACCCCACATTTGGAACAGTATTGTATAACTTTTGGATATATCTTTCTCAAAAATTAAAGAAAAACGTTATCTTTGGATACAAGGTTGAATGAATAGGTTTGATGAATGCTGCAACAACAATAATCAAACTCATACAAACCCCACTCATTACATTGCCTGCAGACTGAAGCGGCCTGTAGGAAAGTGCTGTGTTCGTCACATGTAGCTGGACAGGTCAAGCATCAAGAGTACAACAACGATAACACAAATCAGCTACTAAGATGAGTAAGTTAACAGTCAGGTATTAAGATGAAACCCTGAAGTGCCGATCAAACGAACACAGACATAAACACAAGCACAAAGAAACAGAAAGCGGTGAGTTAAGCCTCTTAAAGCGTTACAGCTGCTGTGCTTTGAGGAAGCAGATGTGGAGTGAATGTGATCGCTGGACAAACAAGGTGACAGGTGCACCGGCGCAAGGAGACGCTCATGTGGCTGCAAGCTCATCATGTGCATTTCTGCACCACTGTGTCACTAAAAGGAAATGTTTGAGGCAAATATACCTGCTTTCAATAGACCACTTCATCTTGTGTGAGAGCACAGGATTTTAAACAGTTTTTTCAGAAGTATTATTAAAGGAACTGTTTGTCCAAAAATGAAAAATTTTGAAAATGTATTCTTTCTCAGGCCATCTCAGATAAAGATGAGTTTGTTTCTTCATCAGAACAAATTTGGAGAAATGTAGCATAGCATCACTTGTTCACCAGTGGATCCTCTGTAGTGAATGGGTGCCGTCAGAATCCAGAGTCCAAACAGCTGATAAAACCATCACAGTAACCCACAAGTAATCCACACATCTCCAGTCCATCCATTACTGTCTTGTGAAGCAAAAAGCTGCATGTTTGTAAGAAACAAATCCATCAAGACATTTTTTCATTTTTTTCCCAGCTAAAATATGATTCCTAATTCCATAATATATTTTTTAAATAAGGACAAAAATAACATAAGCAGGGTTTTATTTTATTTGTACTTGCTTACATTTAAACACACAAAATAAATAATTCCTCTTTCTCTCTAATAAATAAAACACACACACACATGCACACACACACTCCGCCCCATTTGCTTCTATAATACCCTTTTACACAGAAAAGCCACTGCAGATCTTCAAATAGCTGCAATATGTTGAGAGCTCAGCGGTTGTTCTGACCTCCAGCAAAACACGGGTCAAGGGCACACAAACACTAACAAATCCCTGCCAAATGTCTCCACCCTCCCTTAATGCCCTTCATACAAGCATCATCACACATGCATTCACATGCAGTAGCTGGATCACTGATATAAAAATGAGTCTCAAATGTTCTGAATAAACTTTATTTTTCATTTCCAGGACGTGCTGCTGTTGGGAGGAATGAGTGCACACGGGCAGAAAGAATCAACATGATGGCGTTTCATTCACAGAGACCCACGCTGCACTAATTACGTGTCTTTGAGGGAAACTCCCCGTTATCATCCCAGATCCCTCACAACTAGGCAATCAGCATCCCAAAAGTGTGTCCTCGAATCAGCTTCATGATCGTCACAACACCAGCTGAACCTCACTGCGGCCATCAAACAATCTTCATGAAAACGGTAATGAAAACAACATTTAGACATTTTGCTGAAGACAATCTGAGTGCTTTCTTCATACAAAACTCACTGTTATCAGATTCATAATTTTCATTTGGTTGCTGACTGCAAGAGTGAACTTATTAAAAGTTTTAAATATCCTACGATACATCAAACTGATACACACTATATAGCAAATCTCAACTGCGATGTTGTTTACACTGTCGCAAAATATATTATCGGCCAGCTCTTTATATAAAAATATATAAGCATGTCCAACTTTATCCAGATACATACAGTGCAATATATACTACATAGCAACACTACTTGGTAGCTTAAGTATTATTGCAAAATGTAAACTGTATTATCACTCGGCTCTAATCTGCACCTGTGAGGCATGAAGATATTATATATAAATATATGCTTTGAAACAATGAGTATTGTGAAAAGCACTATATAAATAAATGTAACTTGACTTATTTATCTAGAGACCAGCATATCACATAAATGGAGACTTGACTTTTGACTTGTGCCAGAAGAGGTCAAAAGCTACAAATATACAAATATAGCATAAAAATATTTAAAAATCTGAGATGTAATTTTTTTTCTTATTCACCTTTCCCTGCACAGCTCAAATAAATAAAAATTGTTCTGGAAAAATGGCAAAATCATACACACACTTACACACACACACACACACACACACATGAATGTTGTTGAGACAGATGTCCAGTCTAACAGATGTTTTGTGAATGTTTATCCTGATTTAAAAAGAGAAAATAAAGCTCTACTAAAATTTAATTAACAGACAGAAATGACGTGAAATTAAGCAAACGAGAAGGAGATCTGATTATTTTTTATCCTCCAATACAAATCAAATACTTCTTATCTTTAGTAGACACATAATTATCCACATACATTTTTTTTGCAGCAGAAAAACATTGTGTAGTTTTTATATAAATTATATAAACAACTAAAAAAAATATATATATATATATATATATATATAATAGTCGTATATGTCATTCTCAGTTTTTTTCATAACTGCTTGAAAACAGCTTGAAACAGATCCAGATAAATGAACTTGATGTCATTTGCATGGAGAGACAAAGATATTAATGTAGAATTAAGGACAGTGTGTGTAAATCTTCAGTAAAAGTGGTTGCGTAACAGAACGCAGTATTTCTAGCAATAAGGCCGAGAGAGTGAAAGCACAAATGAAGACTTTATATTACGGCTTAAAATCCGAGACAAGGGCATAACAGCGTCACTGAGCTCCCTCAACAGATTCTCTCTTTATTTGAATTTGATATTTGAAAAAGAAATAAAGAACCCATAGTGAAATGCTGACTGTTCACATTAAAGCGCTTTACTGACAGCATGAAATGATGGTGGTGTCACCT